AACCTAAGAATTTGGTTTTTGGTCGTTAGAACGCGGGCGGAGCCGCGGGCAATGCTAGTATAATTTATATAAATAAAAATATATTTAATATATTTTATTTCGAGGAAGGATTTATTTATTTAGCCTATTAATAGTATTTAGAGAAAGTACTAGATTTTCAAGTGCATTTAATTATGATAAATTCCTTTATATCAGCTACAACTTACGAGTGCATGTTACATCAGCCATCAGCCATCAGGCAGGCAAGTAGCAACGCCACGTCAAACCATTTACACTCGTATTTTGTGTCGCGTTGGAAGTGGATTGTCACTCGTCACAATGTCGTAATTGCCGCCGCACTTATTGCATATTATTAAATAATAAATAACAATAACAAAACGTCAATCAGGATACTAATATAAACGCGAATGTTTGTATGTTTGTATGTGTATGTTTGATTACTCATTCAGACTGAAATAGACGAACCGATTTGGATGCAATTTAGGTACAAACACACTTGCTATTGTTAGGCACTTAGGGACTTATTAGGCGAAGCGACGGTAAGTCACTATATAGTAAAGCGAAATTATAGCGAATAAAAAAGAAATGGCAACAGAGTAAGTTACCTTATAATTTAAACAAGTAATAAATTAAAAATTTAAAAACCCCCGACCATCTTGTACCGATTTTCATCAAACATAACTAAGAACACTCCCGACTTATTCACGTTTCAAGCAAAGAAAACTAAATCAAAATTGGTTCATCCGTTCAGGAGCTACAATGCCACAGACAGACACACACAGACACGTGAAACTTATAACACCCCATCGTTTTTGCGTCGCGGGTTAAAAAAAAATGAATTCGAAAAATAGCCCGAACATACCATACCATACCATACCATCTTAATATACTAAGTTTTTACTCTGCGACAGGTATAATAATAATCTTAATTGTAATTGATACTCAACTGCCTCGATAACATTGTCCTAAAGTCTAAAGTAGTTCTATTTCATTCTGAATCTATACATATAATAAAATTGGAATTTAGCCAAATCTGAACATTAAATATTTTTGTTCAAATAGACATTATTATCGATACAGAGGCCGAATCTATAGTTTTCAGAATTTCTGTCTGTCTGTCTGTTACCGCATCACAGAAAAACCAATGGAGGGATTTTAATGAAATTTGGTATGGCGATACCTGGTTATCCGGGTCAACATATAAATAGGATACTTTTTACCGCGGTAAAATATCTCATTTCTGAGAAAAAATACAAAAACTGAAATGTAAGAGTATACTAATATATAAAACCTAAGAATTTGGTTTTGGTCATCTGAACGCGGGCGGAGCCGCGGGCAATGCTAGTTATTAATATTTTCAAGACAATTCGCAAGTTTCCTATCTCCAATAGAATATTTTATATTGATCAAGAGATGTTTATCCTTAATACTAGTCTAGATAGATTAAACTAGATTATTTTAAGACATCCCATCAAATATAGCCCTAAAGTTTGTAGTTTATTGTTGAGTCAGTTATTGTGGACTTATTACGTAAATAGAAATATACTAACAACTAAGTATAACTAGATATAAATAGGTGATACCTAAGTTTTACATCACTAATACTTTGTTCTAAGAAAAAAAAAACTTTTTTGATTTTTGATGAATTAAAACGAACAATGACCTTTGATGGCACGATTTGCATCATCATCTTACGTGGCGATACTAACGTGGAGTTCCACGTTAAACTTTAATAAAGTGATGCAAGCATAGGAAATTATGCAAATTATAATTTTATTAATTTGTAATCTATACATATAATAAAATTGTAACTAAGTCGAATCTGTACATCAAATATTTTCTGGAAAATCTTATTGAAATAGACATTATTATCGATACAGAGTCTGAATCTATAGTTTTTAGAATTTTTGTCTGTCTGTCTGTCTGTCTGTATGTTACCGCATCACGAGAAAACCGCTGGGCAGATTTTGATGAAATGTGGTATGATGATAGCTGGTTATCCGGGTCAACATATAGGATACTTTTCACCGTGGGAAAATATCTCATTTCTGAGGAAAAGTACAAAAACTGCATTGTAAGGGTATACTAATATATAAAACCTAAGAATTTAGTTTTTGATCATTTGAACGCGGGCGGAGCCGCGGGCAATGCTAGTATCTAAATATTTTTAAAAATCTTCGCAAACGGATGGCAATAATAGCAACTGTGTATAGAAAAAGTGGTTAAAAAATTTATATTAAAGTTTTATCGAAATCGGTCCCGTGATTTCTTTAGAATTTTTGCTATTTCTCTATTCATTAACATCCACTTGAAAACTTTACCTAAGCTTTTACTTAACTTAATCCCTTAACGACCGCGGACACGCCGGCGTTACAGTTAACAATAGATTTCTTAGAAATTTAATTAATTTCTTAGAAATTTACCTGGAGGTGAGAGAGAAACGAACTTACAACATACATAATAAAACATACATAATTACAAAACTTATTATGAAAAGTAAAAAATTAAATTTATTTTATATCCAACTACAAGTCAGTAGTCATAACAACTGATGCTTCATCGTACTTATTAATAGAAATTGAAATTACTAACAATATTATTGTTATTGTTACGTTTATACATTTTCATTTTTCCTTAAAATCAATTATACAAAAATATTAAAAGTATATATACATATTATACCTACACACATAAATAAAAATAAACAAAAGTAAAAACCCATCTTTTAAACTTTACTTTGTAAGGAAAACGTATCGTTCCTAAGAGGCATACCAGCGTTGATGTTCAAACTTGCATGTATTTATCTATATTATATACTATCTATATTATATACTTGCACATATTTATCTATATTATACAGTGTGCTGTACACAGATATATTGTATTTAAATATCCATCTATAAAAAAAGTGTGTGTGTCCTTACGTACGCATGTAAGAACTTATACTTCTTTGGCGTAATAGAACAAAAATAGCTAAAGATTTGATCCCCTACATCACAACTCTCGGTTTGTAAAAGGAATGCAGCTAACTTCATCATGTCGCTTTTTGGCTGTCGATGTGCGCGCGCATCGTAAAAATTTTACCCTCATATTTTTCTGAACATGCCAAAAGAAATAAATGAAAAAAAATATTATTTTTAAAATAAAACTAATTATCTTTTCGGATATTTTCGGAATGCGAGAAAATATAGTTTTACTATTAAAATATCAATTTTCGCTTAAGTCTAAGAAAGTATACTATATTTTGTATCTTGTACCTACCTTTACTAAAAATAAATTTCATTTTGAATCACAGGATGACTTAGTTTGTTCAGATAAAATTGTTTTTTTTTTTTAAGAAAATCTCCAATCAATCTAAGAGTTTCGTGGAAACGTGTCTCACTTATCGTCGAATAAAGTTGTATTAACAACATCGTTGGCTTAACGACATAAATAAGCAAAATGCACTTTATTATTCAGAATTTAAAACTCAATTTTATCAATACATCTTGTAATAAGAAATTGGTACCAATTTCGTTGAACATCAGCAGATAATTTATTGAGATTTCCACGAAAGCCTACTGTGATAGTACTTAATACGTTTATCTCCTTTGTCACGAGTTATAGCTCAGTGACTCGATCATAGTTTCAAAAGGATAAGATGGTCAGAACACTTTTAAGAATAGATTTTATTTTACACCATAGCATGGTGTTATGAAATTACCGTGACCAAAGTATACGCTAAAGGAAATGCACTCTCTCAAAGTTCAAATAAATGGAAAAGATCAGACGCCAAACCGACGGATTTACATGACTTTTGTGACAATTGATGTAAAAACGTTAACATTTTAAATTCAAATACTATTAAGAATTTTTTGAGACAGGAAAATATCTATTTTTATCCACGTCCCAGAAATCGAACTCGGGACCTTTTTAACCTTTCAGTATTCTTCCAGTCATGCAATATTTTTGTCATTATAAGTTTCAAGGTAAATCTGTATTACATTTTGTTATTGTTCTTTTGGTCAACATCTAGCCTTTGTTATGAAAATGCTGACGGAATTTTACAATAATTTTAAGTCAAATACACAAAAACAAAAAAATTATGTTAATAAAATTACAAGTACACAAAAAGATTCGGTATAAAAAAGGCCAACGTCACGCGGTGTTCCCAGGCGGTCACCCATCCAAGTACTAACCGCGCCCGATGCTGCTTAACTTCGGTGATCGGACGAGAACCGGTGTATTCAACGTGATATGGACGTTGGCTGATGGAAGGACGAAATTATAGTTTAGTTAACATTATTAATATAAACCAATCACATTACGTGTAATCGTTCATAGAGGGCGCTTATATTAGTAACAAAGTTCATTAATTATTTCACCAGATGGCGTCTTTCAATAATAACTAGTTTTAATTTTTCTCATATTTTAAGATATAATAAAATTGTAACTAAGCCGAATCTGTACATTAAATATTTTTTAGAAAATCTTATTGAAATAGACATTATTAGCGATACAGAGGCCTTGATTTTAGTCTGTCTGTTACCGCATCACGGAAAAACCACTGAAGGGATTTTGATGAAATTTGATGATGATAACTGGTTATCCGGGTCAACATATAGGACTTTTTACCGCGGGAAAATGTCTCATTTCTGAGAAATAATAAAAAAACAGCTATGTAAGAGTATACTAATATGTAAAACCTTAGAATTTGGTTTTTGGCAATGCGAGTTTTAAGATAAAATACAAAGCCCTAAATGATTACTATTACAGGACGGGGCTTTCACTGGCAGATAGATGATGTTTTATGGAGTAATTTAGGCTACTTTCAATTTAAAAAAGGAATTAGGGTTTCGCTCAAAAAAAATAATTTAATTATTTTAATTTTTTTTAAAACGAGCCGAGCGTAAAGTTCCAGTTTAAAAAAACCTCTTGATATATTTAAAAATTAAAATGAGCGTCTGTTGATCTTCTTTATCATATTATATAATTATTAAAATTTTCTATTTCATTTCCAGATATATTTTGGACAATCCAGAATTGGTAAAAGGTTGTAAAGTGCTGGACGTAGGTTGTGGATGTGGCGCGGGCTCCATCGCCGCGGCAAAGGCGAAAGCTAAGAAAGTAATAGCTAATGATATTGATCCTTGTAAGTATTCGGAGATTTTAATTAATTAATAATAATCAAATTAATTTTTAACATCTTTGACATAGTACTTAGTCCAATTAAATAAAATACTGCTTAGGAAGTAGATCGGCCATTTTTCAGGAAATCATTTTTCATGGACATATAAATTATAAAGGAACTTTTAATTAATAATTAAATTAATTTTAATTCAATAAAATTATTTTAAATGTCTGTAAAATAATTTTTAATTTCTTAAAACCGAATCGCTTATTAATTTGATTAATAAGAAAGTATTATAAGAAAATTATAAAGTGCAAAAAAGTTGGAGATGCCGGGGATCGAACCCGGGGCCTTTCACATGCAAAGCGAACGCTCTACCACTGAGCTACATCCCCTAACACAATATATATCGAAATTTACATTTAGATTCATTACCCAATGATGTTAATTAAATTATATCTATCTATACTTATTATAAAAATAAGTCCCCCGGCCGCGTCTTTCTGTCCTCCTGTCTGTCTGTACGCGATAAACTCGAAAACTACTGAACGGATTTTTATACGGTTTTCAACAATAGAAAGAGTAATTCTTGAGGAAGGTTTAGGTATATAATTTATTATGCTTTTATGTAAATTAGCTGAAATACGGCGACAAATGTTGAAGAGGTCGCAAAAAATCTCGCCAAATGGGAACTTTCCACGCGAACGCCGCGTAAACTAGCAAAGATACAGTTAAGTAATGTACTAGAGAATTCAAAATCTATAAAAATGCTACAAAAAAGTCCGCGATAGCATATCTCTATCTCTTACAATAACCACTTTTATGTTAACATTTTTAATTAAAAACATTACGTTATTTTCAAAGTTATTTTCTTTAGTTCGGTATTAATCCTTATCCAAATGAATATTTTAGTTAGCTTAGTCATTTAATGCAGATTAAAATTGCTCTTTACACTAAATCAATCAGATGAATAGTTTTTGAGATATCGTTGTTAGAAGTAATTAGTAGCGAAACATTTTTAATGCTTGGCGAGCATTGAGATGCCTACGGCGAGTCCATCCCCTCTGCCCCGCATCGCTCGACCGCCTGCTCAAGCTATATAAACCGGGCGATGTAGCGCGCGATCCTAGGATACTTTTTACCGCGGGAAAATATCTTATTTCTGAGGAAAAATACAAAAACTGCAATGTAAGAGTATACTAATATGTAACACCTAAGAATTTAGTTTTTGGTCATCTGAACGCGGGCGGAGCCGCGGGCAATGCTAGTTTGTATATAAACTAGCAGAAACTGCGGCTTCGCTCACGCTTAAACTACAAAAAAAAACTCTAAAAAGGTAGGTTTCATACAAACTTTCAAACCCTATTTTACCCCGTTATGGGATAAATTTCGAAAAATGCTAAAAACAGGTATTTTTTTATTTATATTTATATTGAAGAGCATTAATAGGTACCAAGTTTCAAGTAATTCTGATCAGAAATATTTTTTTGTTGTATCATAGCGTGATTTCCCGTGGGAATGAGATGATCTAGTGCGATAAAAAGTAGCCTATGTCACTCTCCACGTCTTTAACTTTAACTATCTTCACACCAAAAATTACGCTAATCCGTCTCTCCGTTTCGACGTGCAAGAAACACAAACAAACACACAAACAAACAAACAAACAAACAAACAAACAAACAAACAAACAAACAAACACACTTTCACATTTATAATATTAATATGGATACTTTCATGTAAAATATTCAATCAATAAAATTACATAATAATATATTAATGTTTTTAAGTCTTACGGTGAAGGGTTTTCTTAGTGAGGTAACCTTCATGTGTGAGAGAGAGAGAAAATTTGAATCCTATGGCCTGATCCTTCTCCTATTCAAACGTTAAAAGAGGGCTAAATACATACATACATACACATTTTTAAAAAATTTACTTTACATATTTAATAAATCTTACTTTTCCTTCCCATTGCGATGAGTTGTAAATAAAAATTATTTTTGATAAAAAATAAATAATTATTGAGGAATACTCTCTCAAACGCTAGATTTACGTACTTATAAAAACCCGTTTTATATTCAAATTATAAATAATATTTATCTTTTACAGATGCACTTATTGCCGCTAGAATTAACGCTGGTCTAAACAATATTGATATAGAGACCGATGTGAATGATTTTATAGGATCGAGCTGTGACGATTTTGATGCTGTTCTTATAGGTGACATGTTTTATGACGAAGAATTTGCAAAAATACTCTTTGAGTGGTTAAATAAACTAACTAACAAGGATAAAATGGTAAATAAAAATTATTCTTATTATTTTAAATGTTATATTTTAAATGTTCTATTTTATACGTTTGTATTAGTTCTCAATTTAGGTATTTAACTAATAATAAATCAATTACAATCTAAAACCATTTATTTTAATTTTATTTAGTTGTTTTTTTGCCTAATATATATATATATATATATATATATATATATATATATATATATATATATATATATATTTGTGTAATAGATGCCTAATAAATATTTTCCCGCGGTAAAAAGTATCCTATATGTTGACCCGGATAACCAGCTATTTGCGGTAGAATGCGAAACGAACCAATATAATACTCACACATTTTAAAATCTTGACAGTTATAAAATTAACTTTATTATTAGTCATATATATATTAACATAAAGCCAAAGAGTTTATTTTGTAGATTGAATGCGGGCGAAGCCGCGGATTCGGCTAGTATATACATAAAATTATACAAACGCAATTAAAATAATATATTACATACACAATATTTAAAACAGATTTGTTTTTTTAGTTTAAATAATTCCAACCAGTGCAGATAAATGTCAGAACTCACGATTAGAAGTAGACAAATTATAATTTGAAAAAACTAAAAACCCCCTTCGCAAATTAATTGTCATTTAACGATTACACTGGCACGCGTGAAGCAATTAATCGAGTAATCATACGCCAAAATGCCTTACATCATTTTGGAAAAGAGCTGATACTCTTACATTGCTGGACCGATATTAACCAAACATGAAAAAAACTGCATCGAAATCGGTCCATCCGTTTGAGAGCTACGATGCCACAGACAGGCACACCTACAGACAGACAGACATCAACCTCAAACAGAAGTAATTATAATACTATAACACCCAAAAATAATATAACACCCCTATTTTTGCGTCGGGGGTTAAAAATGTATAACTACATCGATTTTTGTACTTGATTTTTTTTTGATTTTCTCAAATTCTATATACTCCATGTCGACGAAAATTTTATATCTTTATAGTAAACAATTTAAAGTAGAAAAGCCGTTCGTTCAGTTTTCCCCGAGAAGTCGGTGAACCAATAAAAATACATACAGGCGAAGAAAATTACTTATAGGTAGAACCTGTTCCTTTTTTTTAAGTATAGGGTAGCATTATCAACAAAAGAAGGTAATATTTTACATATAAAAGCTTACATTAGACATTTATAGTACATCCGATATGGTCTAGTGGCTAGGATACCTGGCTCTCACCCAGGAGGCTCGGGTTCGATTCCCGGTATCGGAATTAAAGAATAGAAAATGAGCCTTTTGCTTATTTATTTCAAATTTTTGAGTAGATACTATAAATATTATATTAATATATTATATTTAATTTTAAACAAAAAAATACGTATATTGAATTTATTTTTTCATAAAGTTTTTACTTTTGTTAGTCACAGAAGGAAACGGAGTTGTTATTATGAAATACAATAAAAATAACATGAAATAGGCTAAAGGACAAAGTTTATAAAATAGATCCACATAGGCCATTTTTCAATCAATAATTGTCGCTGTCAGTTTGTCTGTCCGTTTCATTTGTTATTTTAGATGCACTTGCCAATAAAGCCAGACATTAATATAATATACTAGCGACTCACCCTCGCCCCGCTCGGGTTTGTTCCTGTCACAGGTCATATAATACTATACTGCTTACTTTTTAAAATTTAGTGCTTATAGATTGTTCAGAGACGAGATATTTTCCCGGCCAGTAACCATGATACCAATTTTTTTCAAAATCTGTCCAGCGGTTTTCTTTTGACGCTTTCCCAGACAGATTGTCAGACAGACAGACCAAAAATTCTGAAAACTACAGATTCGGCCTCTGTATCGATAATAATGACTACCTATTTGAACAAGAATTTCCAAAAAATATTTAATGTACAGGTTCGACTCGGTTACAATTTTACTATAATATGTATTTAGACTACTCTAGAATATTATGTGTGTGTAGGTTTTAACAAATGTCAAAAGATGGCGTTATATTGCTTAGGCATTTACACAAACAACAACTAAATAAAATTAAAATAAATGGTTTTAGAATGTAATTATTTTATTATTAGTTAAAATGATTGAAAATTGGCCATCAATTTATTTTATAAACTTTGTCCTTTAGCCTATTTCATGTTATTTTTATTGTATTTCATAATAACAACTCCGTTTCCTTCTGTGACTAACAAAAGTAAAAACTTTATGAAAAATAAATTCATAGTACGTATTTTTTTGTTTAAAATTAAATATAATATATTAATATAATATTTATAGTACCTACACAAAAATTTGAAATAAATAAGCAAAAGGCACATTTTCTATTCTTTAATTCCGATACCGGGAATCGAACCCGAGCCTCCTGGGTGAGAGCCAGGTATCCTAGCCACTAGACCATATCGGACGTACTATAAATGTCTAATGTAAGCTTTTATACGTAAAATATTACCTCCTTTTGTTGATAATGCTACCCTATACTTTAAAAAAAAAGGAACAGGTTCTACCTATAAGTAATTTTCTTCGCCTGTATGTATTTTATTGGTTCACCGACTTCTCGGGGAAACTGAACGAACGGCTTTTCTACTTTAAATTGTACTTTTAATTGTGTACTATAAAGATATAAAATTTTCGACGACATGGAGTATATAGAATTTGAGAAAATAAAAAAAAAATCATATACATTTTTAACTCTCGACGCAAAAAGAGAGGTGTTATAAGTTTGACGTCGATGTCTGTCTGTGTGTAGGTGTGTCTGTCTGTGGCATCGTAGCTCTCAAACGGATGGACCGATTTCGATGCGGTTTCTTCATTTGAAAGCCAGTTTCCTTGCGGTGGTTCTTAGCTATGTTAATATCGGTCCAGCTGTGTAAGAGTATGCCCTTTTCCAAAATGATGTTTTAAATAAAACTATCTTTTCGGATTTTTTCGCCGATTTATTTTGATTTTTGGTTCCCGACGTTTCGAATGCTTTACAGCATCCATGGTCACGGGAGAGACTGAGGTGTTACATGTCTTAAAGATATGGTTGTTACAAACAGCCTACCCACAAAATAAGAAAATGAATTCAAAAAATTCTAAAAATGACATCAAAGTACCTTACAATATTTGTTAATTTTAATTTGAAACATTTTTATAATTTTAATATGTTTTATAATTACATGTGGAAAATTATATATTAAATTTTGGCTTTTATAATTATAATTATTACAATTTTTTAGAAACCTTTATTTTTTAGAATTAGTAATCTTATAAAATCTTCCTCTAACTTTCAAAAAATAGAGTAGAAAAAATGTGCAAAAAATAGACGTAGTGGAGCAAGCTAAATACTTTAAACGAAAATGAATTTATAGAATATAAGTTAAATATATTTACAGTTACATATTTTAAGATACTGGATATTTTGAGTTACGATCGCTAAAATTAAATTTGTTTTTCATATATCTTTAAGACATAATAAGACTTACTCGAACTTATTTTTGCAAATAATGAAGAAGTATGTTTAGCGCAAAAAAATATTTTTCTCGTAATTTGATCGCGGGCAAAGCCGCGGGGTTCTCTAGTATTAATATATACTTAATTATTTTTTTTCAGGTGATTATAGGTGATCCCGGCCGACACGGTCTCACGGCGAGCAGGCGCAGTCAGATGACACAGCTAGCTAAATACAACTTGCCAAAAGAAACGCGCGAAGAAAATCATGGGTTTACAGAAACCAGTGTATGGATGTTGAATAAAACATGATAAAAAAAATGTGATTATTTGCTTTTTTAATTGCATACTTCAAAGAATAAGTACCAACATTAAATCTATACATATAATAAAAATGTAACTAAGCCGAATCTGTACATTTAATATTTTTTGGAAAATCTTATTGAAAAAAACGTTATTATCGATACAGAGGCCGAATCTATAGTTTTTAGGATTTTTGTCTGTCTGTCTATCTGTTACCGCATTATTGAAAAACCTCTGGAGGGATTTTAATGAAATTTAGTATGGTGACAGCTGGTTATTCGGGTCAACATATAGGATACATTTTACCGCGGGAAAATATCTCATTTCTGAGAAAAAATACAAAAACTGCGCTGTAAGAGTATACTAATATGTAAAACCTAAGAATTTGGTTTTTGGTCATCTGAACGTGGGCGGAGCCGCGGGCAATGCTAGTAAATAATAAGTATTCTAGCTTGATGAATCAATCTATCACGCTACTATTTTTAACTCTGACATTTATTATGGCGGACTCCGTCTATTCTTTAGACTCAGACATATTATTATATTCTAGTTTTGTTTAGAACATTGGTACGTGATTGAATTCCCGTTGTACTAGTATAATTTACTTTGTATAGATAGATGGAAGAATAAAATACGTAAAATATATTAAAAACTTATTTTATTCAATTCATTGAACATTTTGTTATGTAAAATATTTAAATTGCAAGGCACAAGTAACGTCGTTGTACAATTTTTATTTTTTTTACTCTACCATTACTTCTAGATATTACTTCTATTCTATTTACATTAATAACTACAACATTATGTTACAATTAAATATAATTCCTGGCTGATATATATAATACTTGGTATTAATTCAATTCATAATTGGACCCTTTATTTTTTTGAGCACATAAAAACGTATCTCTCATTTTATCTTAGTGATGCCATCTAGTGGCAATTACAAACACTAAATTAAATTATGCATGAAATTCATTATTGGGTAACAATTGCTATGTTACATAATTATATAAAATTTAAATAATTAAAGAAAAGCCCACTATGAAGAAAAAAAAATTAATTTGAAAACTATTAAATTAAATTAATCTTTAAAGCGACATCTATCTTTGAGAAGTGGACTCAAAAGAAATGATACACAATTCAACACCGTCAAACAAATTAAACTTAAACTACATACAATACATAAGGTACAAAATGGAGAAACAACGCCATCTATTAATATACGAGAGAACTACAACTCAAAATTACGACAAACAACGCCATCTATGAACAAATATCTGAACTACAACTGATAATTATGCATAGTGTTCGCGTAGATGCCGTGCTTCGAGCGCGCAGTTCGGCCCGAGTAGTGTGAGTACGTGTCGATGTCGAGCGGCGCGTGAGGATGCATCAGCAGCACAGGCTGTAGAGCGAGGGACTTCCTCGACCCCGACACAGATGTGGCGTCCGTTACGTACGCGTTGTTTACTTCACCTGGAAAGAAAAATGATAAATATGTAAATATTATATTGAAAAGTTTCTTTGGAAAAGTATAATGTGATGTTTTTGATTCTACTTTGATTAATTTACTTATTCGATGTCGGTTTTTTGTTTCTTTTAATCTCGCATGAATTAAAGTTAAAGTAAGAATATATATTATATGTTATATTTAGAAAATGTGTATATCTGAACTTTATTCCAGTTATAAAATAATAATGATCTATATAAAATAATTAATTATTGAAAATTTATTAAAACTTATACAAAAACTTTAATTATTTGTATGCGAATTAAATAAAATATATAAATTATGACTAAACTAATAAAAAAAACAACAATAATAAAGTTGACCGACAGATGGCGTTATACGTTAAGTCAGTTAACACAGTGACATCTATGGGCAAATATTTGAACACCTCTTAATAAATTTTGCATTTTTTACAATTATAATTGAAAAAAAAAACACAACTAAGTAATTAAAATTTATTACATGTACATATCTATCCTATAATAAATAAAAAGAAATAGAAACATCGCACACACAATATTCCCATCGAGAAACCAAAGAATCTCAAACAGGATATCGTGTAAAGTGATCTTTTGTGGTATTTGACACCGAAGAAACCTTTTAAAGCGCAACTTGTTTTATATAAGATGATTCTTATATCGATAAGCACAGAGTTTATAATATTTAACACACATAGTTGTAAATGCAAAGTGCAAGCGGCGATAGACGACGTTCTTGACACAATTCATACGTGGCTTTTTCTGTCGGTGCAATGTCTTGCATCCTAATTTTTTGTTTACTTAAGTACTGAATATGAGTGAGGTAATATGGGTAGCGTGGACTCTATATATTTGCGTCGAACCACATATATTTGTTTTATAAGTTAAATAACTAACATTTTATTTACACTAACTTAATGATACGAGATGGTGGAAAAAGGCACTTTCCTCTTCTAAGCACTTAAATTATCTTTTTTGAATCGATATTGCTAACAATAAATTTAAAAATAAAATATTAGCATAACTGCTATCGTATTACGATTTTTAGCCAATTTCATTTTTTTTTTGTGATATAATAGCAAAAGCAATTGTAGAATCTTTAGACGATAGAAAAGCTAGAGTTTTTATGTCGTCGGTCCATATGTATGTATTTATGTATGTATGTATGTATTTATGGACTAAGGTAAAAACTAAAAGTATAATATTTTGGAAATTGTATTAAATACAAAATCAATGAATATAAGAATTTTCAACATTGGCCTCACAATGGGCTTGAGTTGAACTTGAATATTTCTGTCGCATAATTGGTGGTTGGAGGTTTACTTATCACTGACTAATGATTTTTGAAACCAGTTTAGAAAAAAATTATAATAGCATTTAAATATTGTTATACTATAAAGTATATATAAATAAATATTTAAAAATATCTTTTGTTTTGAATAAATACTTGTACTTTCTAACTTAACTAGCAACTCAGCCTAGCTTCGCTCGGGTTCGTGCGTGCTAGGTACGTTTTAACGGTTAGTATGTATATATTTACCAAGTTATTTAGTATGTCTATATATTAGTATATTATATATATACATAGGTATCATGAGTATGAGAAATGCTTGATTCCCCATACAAACTTTCATCCCCATTTTCACCATGATTTCCGGGATAAAAACTATCCCATGTCCATTCCAGGGCCTCAAAATATCTTTATGTCAAATTCATCTAAATCGGTTAAGCGATAGTTTATCCATTACAAACAAACATACAAAAACATTTTTTTTTTCATAATAGTAATATAGATAATAACTAAAAGAAGATAAAACTCTGTATATTAAAATTAAATAGTATCATTATAAAAAATGCACATAAATATTTTCATTGACATATCTTAAAAGACTTTTGAAATTAATGAAAATTTCATCTTTGCAGAATATTATTGTTTCTACCACCAGGAAGTTGAAAATGCATCAGTCCTGAAGAGAATGCTGTATGTGCAATATTTTCTTTTTAATATCTTTTTTTATATATTTAATATTTAAAATATGTTTTCTTGGGAAGTTATTAGCAAGCAATGAACAAATTAAGCTCAAAATAAACTCGTTTTCATCGTCACGGCGCGTGTGGCGGATATCGTGACTAGTGCACATGCAGCAATCAGAGCGGAACACACGGTCCCCTCCCGTTCAGGCATTATCAGCAATTATATGGTGTTTAGTAATGAAACTGACATTATTAAATTCAATTCTCTTGTAAATGGATTCAAAGTGTGCCAGTTGAGCACAGTTTACTTCGACAATGTGACGTAAGAAAAAGTGATAGGTATATATTATAAATATGAAAGTGTGTTTGTTTGTTTGTCCTTCTTTCACGTCGAAACGGAGTGACGGATTGGCGTGATTTTTTGTGTGGAGATAGTTGGAGGACTGGAGAGTAATTTACAAATGCACTCTCTATCTTATTATCTGGTGGTAGAACAAAACAACACAACGGGTGAGGGATCAGGCGCAGGACCGATAGCTTAACGTGACGTCGGAAGCATGGGAAATACACATCACCGAATCCCCAATGCCAAGCTGCTACTGAATATTTCGTAACAATGGAAAACTCAGAAACAATTTTAGCTTTACCCGAGAATCAATCCCAGACCCTCGCGGTTTGCGGCCATACAGCCACTGAACACCGAGGCCGCCACAGAGTAAAATCACATTTACGCTGTAATTAGGGGTAATTAGTATACATGCCTTTGTATAAGTCAGCAGGATATGAGGTGTCAGGTTGCAGGCGCACGTGTCGCGTCGCCAGGATGAAGGCGAGTGCGGCGAGAACGACGCCGTCTAGACACCCGATGACAGCCAGCAAGTACGCCCACCGCACGTGACAACGACCTAGGAAATACATACTTAGCCGTTAAAATATTTTTTTAAATTTATTTATGTACCAGAAAAAAAAACATGCAAGTGAAAACAGATACCATGTGTACAAAGGATGACTTATCTCTTTAAGAGATCTCTACCAGAAACTTTTATTCGTTATCTGATACTATTTTTCTAGACTAAAAGGGAAAAATTTGTTAAAATTTATTTATCGTTAGGCTTTAAAATAATCAGTATGAACTCAATATTACTAAATAAATATGTCAGGACATTAACACACAACGCCATCTAGTTCCATGGTAAGCTCCGAGGCTTGTGTTATGGATACCAGATAGTTGATACATTATACATATATAACTTTAAATACATACATATTATAAATATAAACACCCATGACTGGAGTACAAACATTCGTGCTCATCACACAAACGAATGTCCCAGCGGGACTCGAACCCGCGACCGCTGGCGCAGCATGTAGGGTCACTACAAAGTACAAACAGAGCCAAACGTGTCGTCAAACTTTTATCCTGTTTCCTCTTTATCATTTCTTGGTCAGTTCCGTTTCGTAAGAAAGGTTTCGTTAAAATTTAAGCTAAGTTAGAGTTTTGGCAACCATGTAAATTAAAAATGATGTAAATATTTGAACTATTTAAATAAATCTTTATTTATTTTAATTTTTAAGTACAGAGTGCAACTTAATTCGAGTGTTTATTTGTATTTAGTTCACTCATGATTCTCACTTTCTCTCATTCTCTCTATCCTATGTCATAATTTATATTATGTGTACCAATATTGTACTGGTCTGCAGTGGGGCCGCAGGTCTCCAGCACGGCGGTCTCGCTCCAGCCCGCCGGGTACACCGCCACGCCTCCGATCATAAACAGCGCTGTAACAACAATACAAAATAATTGTTATTTTTGTACTATTGATATTTACTGTTGACTATGTAAAGAAATAATTGGATTACTGTTAATATTTATGCGACAGTTTGTATGTTTGCATGTTTATTACTCCTTTACGCTGGAACAACTGGAAGTAATAAATAGTATGTATATTGTATTTTTCCGTAGATTTACTCAAATATTTGATATTTTAAATAATCAAAAACGTCGGGAAACAAAAATTAAAATATTTTTTCGAAAAAAATAGTTTTTTTTTTAAATAGTATGTATGTAGTTTGCAATATCAATGTAAGTTGGATCGCAACTTCTACTATATCTATACAGATAAATAAAATTAGTGTCTGTTTGTAATGTCAAAATAATAATAATATAAAATTATATATGGTACTTAAAGTAACACACATTTTTTTAAATGTTGTCTGTTTGTTCCGGACAATCTTTGAAACGGCTGGACTGATTTTGACGGGACTTTCACTGGAAGATATCAGATGTTATAGGGAGTAACATTGGCTACTTTTATTTTAGAAAAAGAAAGAGGGTTCCGCACGAAAAATTAACCTATTTAAAAATTAACCTAGGAACGAATCCGAGCGCAGCGAGGGTGAGTCGCTAGTGTAATATAAAGAAATTCCCTGAGGATTTTGTTCACAAATATACATGTTTTATTTCAAAACTTATCCTAAATAATCCGGTCTCACAGCTCTGTAGGATATGAGCTGTGTCAGCGGGATAAGAACAGCCGTAGCTTCCTAGCGCCTTACAAATTAGATTATTTAAAGCATCATTCATGTACCTGACATTGTTTTATTGATTTGAAAAGCGTAACAAATTGTACTGTGGCAAAATTAGTCGGTTTTGAATGGAAAGTTAATATAATGACGTAAGGGCTTTTTAGTTACTGCCGATGATATTTCACGGCAATTTCAATAGAAAGTGATACGAATAAATCCTCCACGCTCCGTCGGGCTGAGAGAAGTTTCACCGGGTTAGAGATGGAGGGTCGAAGTACAGATCGATTTCTTAATAACAATATGATATCTAATATATTTAAACGAGCAATTCTTGTATATCTGAATCTCTGAAACGGCTCCAACGATTTTCATGAAATTTAGTATGTGGAGGTTTCGGGGGCGATAAATCGATCTAGATTAGTCTTATGTCTGGGAAAACGCGTGTTTTCGAATTTTCATGCAGTTTTGTTTCGAATTATTCCACGAAAATATGGTCGTTAATTCGCACGCTAGGACATAAGAATTGTGATCAAGCGGTCAAGGCTTAAGTTTGACAACCACAGGTGTCTGGGTTCGTATCCCGGTCGGATACGAAGTTTTTACTTTTGTTTTTTTTTGTATATATTCAAATTTTTAGTTTGCTTTTTTTTTAAATGTTTTTTTTGGCCAAAAACTCCGAGCGATACTCGGTCGCCCAGGTACTATACATTTATAATATGATATAGGTATACGAATGTACAATAAAGGAAATGCATGGAAAATACAAATATATCTACTGAACTAGTGACGTGACCTCGCTTTGCTCGGGTCCTTAGATAAGTACCACCTACATACGAGTGTAGCACTGCTACGGTTAAAATAGATCTTTTAAAAGGAATAATTCCTTATTACATTGTTTTCATGTAACTCATGCCAGTTAGCTCGTAAGTCAGTCGCCATGAATTTTACTGACATCTTTAACAACCATCGTCATATTTCAGCCATTTTACACAAACTGATTATAAAAGACAAAACGGAAGATGTATTCTCCTGAAGAAAATTTTATAAATATTATATCTATACATATAATAAAATTGTAACTAAGTGGAATCTGTACATTAAATATTTTTTGGAAAATCTAATTTAAATAGACATTATAATCGATACAGAGCCCGAATCTATAGTTTTTAGAATTTTTGTCTGTCTGTCTGTCTGTCTGTTACCGCATCACAAGAAAACCACTGCACAGATTTTGATGAAATTTGGTATGATGATAGCTGGTTAGCCGGGTCAACATATAGGATACTTTTTACCGTGGGAAAATATCTCATTTCTGAGAAAAACACAAAAACTGCATTGTAAGAGTATACTAATAATATGTAAAACTTAAGAATTTGGTTTTTGGTCATATGAACGCGGGCGGAGCCGCGGGCAATGCTAGTATTTAAATATAACGTCGATGAGTTAAAACGCTTCTATAAAATCATCTTTTCCTTATGATATTAATTTTCAAGTGGTTTTACTTATACTGCATTAGATTTATAGATATAGCTATCACGTTTCCTAGCAACGATCCCGTATTCAAGAACATTTTGATATTAGCTTACAAACAAAATACCAACTTCTGCATGATATATCAACTAAATTTTAAAACAATGCTAGTTCTCAAAGGTTTTATTTAAATTGCAAATCTTTTCAAGATCCTTTAACTAGTAATTTACTCTTATCAGTTTTCGTCTTATTGGCCTATTGTTTTATAGAAGATTATTCGATAGAGTGGTTTTTTATACTTCAAGGCCTAATATAATCTTTTATTTATATTCGTATACAATGTGAATGATTCAAACAGACGCTATGACGAAATCTGATATTATAGAACAGAGCAAGAAATCAATTTGATAGAAATTAATACTGCATTAGTAACGCACGAATTACGTATTGTTTTGAAAAGAAAATCTACTTATAAAACAATTACATAGCTTTATTAATACACTAGCATTGCCCGCGGCTCCGCTCGCGTTCAGATGACCATAAACCAAATTCTTAGGTTTTACATATAAGTATACTCTTACATTGCAGTTTTTATATTTTTTCTCAGAAATGAGATATATTTCGCGGTAAAAAGTATCCTATATGTTGACCCGGATAATCATAATCACCATCTACTACCATCACTAGTAGTGATAGTAGGTTAAAGGCTTCATACAGTTGCCTCAGAGATACCGTTGTGACTGTTGCGTTTTTTTAGTTTCCTTGTTTTTATTATGAACGATCTGATTATTCATGATTTGGAAGGTTTGTGTGATTCTCACAGGCTCACATCCGTAGGTACCAGAAATGCGACCAAAATAAACTAAAACAGTAATCTAAAAATACCAAAGTGCAACATAGATCCGTCACCCAACAAGTATATCTAATTAATATAGTCTAATAACAACATGACCTGTTCATATAAAACACCTATGGGATTCTTAAAAATGAATCAAATAAGCCCAAAGAAAAGAGTCTTGCTTGTAGCCATTGTCGTCGTCTGTTTTCTATGTTTCTAGTTTTCATTCATTCATATATTTATTAACCAGCGACTCACCCTCGCTCCGCTCGGGTTCATCCCTACTTACGTTTTAACGTTTAGTATAGATTTCTCAGAGATGAGATATTTTCCCGCAGTAAAAAGTATCCTATATGTGGACCCGGATAACCAGCTATCACCATACCAAATTTCAATGACTGTTTCAATAAGATTTTTCAAAAAATATTCAAGCTACAGATTCGACTCAATTAGAATTTTATTATATTATGTATAAATTATTATTAATATTGTATAAATATATGCACGTACAAAGTTTTAAATAGATACAAATTTTTATTAAGTAGGCCTTTATAATATCACAGTATTAACACCTCCAGGTAAATTTCTAAGAAATTAACTAAATTTCTAATGCCCGATTTCACCAACAACCCATAAGCTACCACCATGAACGAATTAACCACTAATTCGTCCATGGCTACCACCTATGTATGGGCTTAAAATTCTCCTAAACTAGCCCCTAAATTAAATTTCGTTTTACCATCGTCTTTATGCCCATATTTCGAGCACTTAAATTTAGGGGGCCTTTTAACATTTAGATGACCCCTAACTGTCGGTGAAAAAGAAACTGTCCCCTAACAGCCCCCTAACCATGCTTAGGGGATCCCTTAAACTTAGGTGACGTTGGTGAAATCGGGCATAAGAAATCTATTGTTCACTGTAACGCCGGCGTGTCCGCGGCCGTGGAAGGAATTATAATCTCATTAAAATAATTAGTTAATCGTACTCTACATCTAAGATCATAGAAAAACATTTCACAGAGCATTTTCCCACAGAAGCTCGTAGAGCGTGAAGATAGTCATTGTTTTAACCGTTACTTAATTCTCGATTTGATCTTTGCTTCATAAATACTTTAAATTTTCTTCTTGCTTCATTACTCTATGTTGGTGTTGACTCTTGAAAATATTGCGCAGTAAACAGATTGCAGGGCGGGTCGTATTGAAAGATTTAGTTTTTAGAGCAAACAGTTTTTACTAGATAGTTTAGATTTGTCCTTCATATTGCAGTATTGCATCTGTCTGGCAACACTTGCTTCGTTAAAAGTCGTGGGTTCGGAGTTCTAGACTTTTATTTTTATTTGTACCTCCATATACATAGACTACAGTCTACATTATTCTTGTACTATACCCATAAATGTTATATATACATATTTTATTTAATTTTTTATTTTATTTATTATATAATATACTATTATATATCATTTTAATTATTTTTTACTTATTTTTTAAAATGATTTATCGAATTTAATTTAGTTAGTAATATTATGTAGTTACTTCTATAATTTGAAACTTTCTTCCTGCCTTAATTAGTATTTTAAATTGCATTATGAGGCCAGATTTATAGTATTATAAACAGATATGATTTTTTAATACGGAGAAGTAATAAGTATTATATACAATGGCGTAACTAGCCTTTTTGGGCCCAATAAAAAAAATGGAGCCTCTTTGCCTATTTTGAAAACGAATGTTGTCCACAGACAGAGTTTTCAAACTTTTTACTTTTTTTAAATCGCTCTCACGAAAGAACGGGAAGAGTAAAATTAAAAAAAAACACTGAGCTTAAGAAAACCATTCAACGTTTTATAGATACGCTCACATTCGTCGTCGTCTTCGTAAAAAATAATATGCGGAAAAAGAAACTTTTTTGTTACGGTTTTTTTTAACTTTTATGTGGGCCGGCCGCGAAAAAATCGAATCGAAATAAAAGAATCGTTTGTCGGCCGCTGGGGCCCCCTTGAATCAGGGGGGAAGGACAGAGCCCCCCCTGGAATCAGGGGCCCCATGCGACCCATGCATTGGTTGCATTAACATAGCTACGCCACTGAATATACAGTACACTCATATATCGAATTAATTTTGCATAAAGCTTACAGGTTACAGCTTACTCATAATTTGACTTTCTTAATGATTTGCTATTACGAGTACACTCGTAACTCGACGTAACTACGGACGTGCGCAAATAATTTATAATAACATTATTTCAGCTTAATTCATGCTTTAAAGATTTTTATATCGCTTTCGAGTAACTTCCTGTTTCTTTGTTCAGAACTCATTATACCGGATATGTTTTAACGGAAGTGATATATTGATGAAAGTAGACAATGAGACAACATAAAATAGTTTGAACAAAGTGTAGTAATTATATTAACATTAATATTTATTAATTACTATTAATTGCAATTATATAAAAATGTTTTTTTTTTCATTGTGCAAGTTACCTATTTTTTGAAATTTTCCTAAAATATAGACAAAAGTAGTCTCATTACAAGATAGTCAAATATACTATTTGCGTGTAATATCTTAAATGCTTGTGCTATAAATCTTGAAAAATAAGAAAAAGGTATTAAATCACGCTTAGTGGCAACCTTTCTAGCGTATTATTGGGCAAAATTTTACCGATTGTTCCGACAGCTTGCAGAAGTTTACCTAATTACCATTACCACACCAGAAGATTTCCTTTGGGTTTTACTGGATTTTTTAGCCTGTGAGTCTCCATATAATCACCATTTCCTATTATGTGAGAAAGATTTATTTAACTCAATAATTTGCCATACGGCATATAGTTACTTCCACGATCTGAGATTTGTAAGTAGTCAATCAGGTATGCTGCTACTTGTTTTTAACACGGTTGTATTCCCTTCACTTGTAACTATGATAAAATGAAATCATAGAAATCGATTTTTATCATGTTCAAATTTTCGTATCTAATGTGAAATAATAATCTGTTTTGATGATGGAGCAAGATGAAAGAGTCTTTAATGGCTAATAGTAATCTTCAATAAAAACTATACTATAGTTGTTACAGACAGCATAAATAATATATATAATAAATAACCTTGAAAGTCTAAAATCTTAGTCTCTCCGCGACCATGATTGCTGTAAAGCATTCGAAACCAAAAATCAAAATAAATCTGCGAAAAAATCCGAGTAAAGATGGTTTTATTTAAAATATCAAATTTTCGGCTAGATATAGTTAGAAAGTATTATGTAAAACCTTCTGTTTTGGCTACCTTACATTTAAAAAAAAACTTTTTTTGGCGAGGTATTCATAAGTTAGCGCCATTTTTGACATTAATTAACATATCTTATGACTTTTAAATTAAACCTAAAGACAGTGATAATTCATTAAGTCCATATCCGCGAGTAAGCTACTTTGTTTAAACCTACATACATATATTTGAATACTTTGAGTTTATGCTAAGAGCGTACAATGAACTAGATAACTATTTAATATCATAGACCAAAAAAAAAAAAGATTACAAAATGCAAGAATTAGTAACAGATTTAATCTATGAAAGAATTAAGCACGCAACAGTATGTGAAGCGTGTCAATATATCTCGATATGAATAAGATAACGGCACGATCTCACGTATATCACTGTACTCTAACATTACATATTTTGAAATAAAATGTGTGTTTGACTGTTATTTTGTAATGAAAATTAATGCCAGTTTAAATGTTTAAATTGTCGCTTATTTTTTTTACGATCAACGATAGAAATATTAGTAAAAAACAAAACTAACGTAAACGTGTAACTAACTACGTAGTTACTTTATATACTTACATACAATAGTAATAAAACTTATACAAATCTGAGATCTACATAACTTAATAAAGCTAAATAAAGCATATTTCAAAGAAGCTTATATCTACCCAAAAATTACGTACTTTGATGTATGTAGGTCTGCAGATCCGGAGGTCCTGGGTTCGGGTCCAGGGTCAGACCAAGTTTAATTACTAACATTTTCTATTAAGATTAGGAAGTCCCGGACTTAGGAAGTCGGCGGCGTTGTATCCCCGTGCCTCAGATAGCATGAAAAGCCGTAGGTTTTGTGCCTGAACTATAAACGGTTGTATCGAAGTATCGTCCCATCGTACTTTGGTTTTTGAGAATTAAAGAAACAGAGAGTACGATTGTGTCTGCGCGTACACACGCTGCACTATAATATATCCTTAAATCGGTCACGAGAACAGTATTATTACTTCGCAGCAATAATCACGTTGTTACGTTAATGCTGGGAGAAAGACAAACTGACGAAACTTTTATCTATAATATTATTATAGATAAAAGTCATTATATTGGGAAATATTGTGCATCTGTTAAAGAAGTGATGACTAACATCTTATTATTTATTCATAGTATGTTAGTACATACTACACCTGTTTCTCAGCAATTTTAAAATTCAAGGATTCTTTTAATAACTAGAATGTCCACGATGTTAACAGAGTAAGCTATATATATACAGAATAACTTTCTTGCTAGAGATATTTGCGTTTAAAAAATACAATTAATGTCCGTCATATAAAAAAATTATATCAGTGAAAGCTAAAAATATGTAAAATATAAGATTGCACCAATCAAAATTAAACAAAAGAAGATTGGAGTATTAACAATTATATTTAATGGGACCATTAAGGTGTTAATATTTTTTGTTTCCTACATCCGGTCTGTAAGTAACGCCACTCGACGCTCCTCTCTAGCTGGCGGCACTCAAAAGATGATTATCCAATGAATTACGTAAACCTCCTTCGTCGAATTCTTTAACAGTTTGACTTACCACGTTGACTGGCGAGCTTACTATTTTCTTTGTTTATCTTTAAAATAATATAATAATACTAGCGGCTCGCCGTCGCTTCGCTCGGACTCATCCCTGGGTAACGCATCTTAACGATTAGTATGGAACAGAGGTATATAGGTATGATGAGTTGTTGTGAGTTGTATTATATCGTGTTTTCCCGTGGGAATGAGATAATCTCTCCCGGTAAAAAATTGCCTATGTCCCTCTCCAGCCCTCCATATATTTCCACACAGAAAATCACACCAATCTGACACTTTGTTTCGACGTGAAAGAAGGACAAACAAACACACTTTCACATTTCGGACGCTTAATAAAACACTGACTTAACTCAAAAAACTAGATATTTGATAAATCAAGAAACATGTTTTTGCAATAACGACTTTATTTTTTTATTCTTAACTTAAATAGCATAAAAGTTTACAAAGTAAATTAATATATTTTAATTATTCCAGATAGTCTTAAAACGTTTCGTTTTGTGTAATTATTTTTACCTAATAACTCTATTCTGACCTAACTTGTAATTGGTCAGTTTTTTCCAATGCGTGCGATTTATAATATTAAGTATTGCTATAGATATGGATATTTTCTAGATCATTTTTAATATAAACTATCGACATCGTGTTTGAATGGCTCGAAATGACGATGTTAGGCCTAAGTAACATCCAAATAATCAAATCAAAATATACTTTATTCCAATACTTTGACAAGTACTTTTAGATCGTCAGTTTTACATTTTTAATACAAAGATAATAAGCGGGTACATTCAAAGAGTTGGAAATGAACAGAACGGCAAAATAAATCCGGTGATCTACGCTTCATACTTGCCATAATACTTTTTACAATCTACTATATTGCTAATATAAAACATAAATACATGAAAATAACATATTATACAATTATTATAAATACATATCGAACTAAAATATGATTACGAAATTATGAATGATTATATATGAATATAGATAATAATATGTACCTATATGAGTTCCATAAAATTATTAGTGCGATTGTAAAATGGCTAAGCTGCTCATTACAATGACTTTAGTCTATTATGTTTTGTAAGAGTCTCATCAAATTCTATTCAGCATTATTAACATAAGACAAGAATACAATTTCATAATTATTTTATGTAAGTAATAACTATAATATATAATGTTACATACATTATAATATAATATAACTAACGTCTTTAGTAATATCATATTTATATTATTATATAATAATTTCTTCATAAGTCTCATATTATAAAATAACAAAATCGTTACGTCGTCGTGTCGGATATACTAAAGTGCATAATTTTTAAATGAGTGATCATATTCGGAGCTCACTGTCCGTTATCTCACGTCTATATTTTGTGAGAGATTGAACATAATACGTATTGACTAACACGACCCAGTTTTTAATTGGTATTTAGAAATGCTAATTCTAGTATCGCTTAGATGAGAAATATTGCAGTCACTCTTCATTTTTCAACACACTCGCTATGGCTGTTAAGCCATCCAGTCTGAATATACGTAATAGTAGATTTTTTTTTTACGTATGCCTGAAATTATTTTTCCTTATAATGCTATAATATCAAATAAATAAAAAAAATGGCTCACCTTAAAAAAACATAAATTTTGTTAATGTTTAGTATTCTTGCTTTTTGTTCGATTTATTCCTGTTAATTTTAAGTTCACTCACTTTGCTTGTGTTTTTAGTGGAAACTTTATTGGCTTAAGATTTTTTTTAGAAGTGTTTAACTAAATCTTATTAACTATACGCTGTGTTTCCCAATGATAAATAAATAAGTAAATAAATAAATAATTACAAGTGTAATGTATTTAAGTCGTTATAGCAGTGTCCACAGCATCCGTAGTATTGGGTTCAATTCCCAGACAATTCAACTGAATGACGAGGGTGGCTTTACGTTGCTTTAAAAATCACAATTCTGTAGTAAAAACTCTTTCGGTAAATTGGTCGTTTGGACAAATAAGCACTAAGACGACGATTAGAGAGTTCCAATTACCATACACGAAAGATTAAGTATGTAAAATATTTAATTTAATTTATTAATCGTACTTAACCTAAAAATTCCCATCGCATCGCCATTTACTTACTAACAGTGACCCCAGACCTTAGGTAACAGTTTGCAATCACTCGCTTTAAGTAGCCTACATACTTTACGTCATATAAGAGGCATCTCTATTGAAAATAACATCACAAAAATACACTTTCAAATTTATAATATTAAAATTAAAATATTCAAAATTAAAATATTAACAACAGAGAGAGTTTATTTTTCTTGACTTAATTCGGCAAACTCCAACCAACGTACTTTTTACTAAAAAGAGTAAAACAAATAATTTATCCAGCCGCAAACTCCTCCGGCGTGGGCATGTGTGCTCGCACTCTTGCGCACCTGTCTTTATCTATATTCAGACTTTTTCTTTTACAAGCAATGTCCTTTTCTAAATCTCCTCTGTATTTCATCAGCTCAGACCTCACATTCTCTGCTTCCCTTAATTTATTCTGAACTGACTCCGAAGTTTCTTTTATAAACTTGACTTCCGCCATCAAAGCGTATTGCGCTTCATCTCTACAGTTCTCTACATAAGGTCGCTCGTAGTTCCTAGCATATAGCCGCGACATGACACACTTGTTTCTTTCGTCAACTTTTCGTAGAGACTCTTTTAAATAATCTACAAGGTTTTCTATGTCGCCTATTTTATGTAGGTTATCTTTAAGATTCTCTTCCAGCTTTTCGCAAAGGGCTTCAGTTGCTTCTATTGTTTCTGATAACGCTAAATTTGTTCTATCTGCTTGTAATTTCATATCTTCACTTCCTTTAGTTATAACCGTCATTAAATCACCGCGAAGTTTTTCTGATGCCTTTCTTACCTCCTCGCAGTTTCGTATACTTTCCGCACAATAATGTTCCCAGTACTCTAATGTTGTAGCGTTTTCTGGCCATCTTGCCACGCCAGGGTGATATTGTGTAAGATTAGATTTCGGTGAAAGAGTTGCATTTGTTCTGTCTACTTTTAAAGTGATCATTTTATCGCTCCAATCGAATTCTATAGATGATTTCGCTGATTTATTTCTTGCCATTTGTTCTTCAACTTGTGCTAACGTAGTCATAAATACTCGTCTTATTTCACCAACGATTGCTACTTCTTTAATTAATTCCTGCTCCGCATCGTCTCTTACTAAGTCTGGTTCATAGCGACTCGTGCGCAGCTCTAAACACTCTCTTGATATCGCTTCCGGCATCATCAAGATTCTGCAGGCACCTTTCAACCGCGCTCTGTCTTCATCTAAAGTATTTATTTCATCAATCATGGCCTGAAGAGTAATTTCTACTTTTTTCTTCCAATGCGACAAATCTCCGATGCGCTTATTTAGTTTTTTATCAGAATCTTCTAGTTTATTATCCATACTTGAAAAAGCATTATTAATGTCGTTCTTAATTTGGTTTTCTAAAGCTTTAGCTTTGTCAGTTGCACGTGGCGTAAGAGTGTATTGATTATTTTTTCGCCATTCTCCAGTAGAATATCTTGTTATAGAATACTTATCTACCACTGGACGTACCCCTGTAGTCCCAGCTTGAGGGGTCCAATCTATATGACCAGCAGCCCATGGTCCTATTGGACCCATACCAAGAATATCTCCGCTTGTGCTGTCTGTAGGTTGAGGAAGGTACCTCGGCGGGGCCCCTGGCAGCAATATTTTTGGTTCTGGAGGTTCAATCATACCAGGCACATATGGAGACGCGTGAATATTCTCCGCCTTTCGTTCTTTACTAATTTGTTCATTTTTGTTGTCAGAACTGTGTCGATTTATGGTCGGACATACATTTGGACACGAGAAAGGATCGTTGCCTGCTGACATTTTAATAAAAATTTACATATATTTAGCGTATTTATTTATTATAAAAATATAATATCAAAAAATGTAAAAGTGACATTTCAACGTCAAATAAATATTACAAGTATTTTACACGATGATTTATACGTACGAATGCCAGTAATAAAATTAACATGTTACGTACATACATTTTAACACTTAATATGCAAAATTTTCAAATATATTGCAACGATTTATCTAATTTTAGGCCATAATTTTGTTATTACTTTATTTAAAGACATACTAAACTGTAAGAAGCCAGATATTATAAATTGACACATTAATTGTGTAATATACCTTTTTTTTTTTTTTTTTTTTTTAACGTTGGGAAATGCATTTACGCACGACGTGTGGGACTCACCGGCGTAATACAGCCAGTACTACCCACTAAAACCCAACAAAACCTTCCCCCGTCTTAATGGGGCGTCGCAGGATCGCTTGCGCATTCAACTACGACGCCCCGACGGCAGGTCTGCCCAAGCAGACCACCACAACCATGGGGTTGCTCCACAGTCCACTCTGCTATCAGAGAAGTACCAGGAGCAACCCGCATGGTACACCGCCCTCCGAAGAGGGCCACCTCCCACCGCCCACCGAAGTGGGCAACCTCCCTGTGCGTTTCTTAGTTTCGCGCCCGGTTGGATTGCCGGGCACTACTGAGCCCCCCCACCACGACAAGGTGAACGCACGTTGGGGGGGAATTGTGTAATATACCTAACTATATGTACTTAATTCTTCATATAGGAAATATATAATTGCGTAAATGAGTCCAATTTAGTTTGAAAATTTACGTCAAGTCTTAAATATGTAATACTTTGTAAAGAACGTAATTTTATAACTTTTAAGTATCCTTAACAATGTAAAGATACGTTTGGCTCAGTGTGTAGTGACCCTACTTGCTGTGCCAGCGGTCGCGGGTTCGAGTCCCGCTGGGGGGCATTCATTGTGTGATGAGCACGAATGTTTGTACTCCAGTCATGGGTGTTTATATTTATAATATGTATGTATTTAAAGTTTATATATGTGTAGTATATCAACTATCTGGTATCTATAACACAAGCCTCGTAGCTTACAATGGAACTAGATGGTGCTGTGTATTAATGTCCCAACATATATAACATATATATACTTACGGGAAACTTTCCCATATCATTAAATTAAGATTTTATGGTGTTTGAATCCATTTACTTTAAGCAGTTGAACACACTTGGCTACATTGGCGGTTTTCGCTGAAATAGTAGTAGATATTCACTCCTCAAATAACGCTGATATACTAGTTAAGTTTTACTAGTTAAGTTATTACGTAGTAGATACGTACTTTGCCACGCTTCGTGGAGTATAAAAACAAAGCACATCTAACAAGTAATATGCCATGAAAAGGTCACCGTAACCGCCATTCTCCGCAGTTCCCACTCTCATGGGATGGGAGATAACGATGTTATTGTTTTTTGGTTCCAGTATTTTTTACTGTTTAAAGATTCCGTGTTCCGTAATAAGACACGCAACGGTTCACTCTATACATACTACTTCCATTGTTTGTGGTCTCTTGGGATCAATTTGACTAAGTATATTTTGTACGGACAGGTTTATACCTCAATAAATTTCTTTTTAATCTGTCTTTCATGATAATATTTATGACATTTCTCTGGTATTGCTTTGCAAAAATACTGACGTGAGCGTTATATGATTATAGCATGAAAGAATTAGCCATTAGGTAATTCGTTCATGGTAAAATATTATTATAGTAGATATTTTATTAGCATAAAAAAGGGAATATTCGATAAGTTTCAAGTATTTTAAATGATAGAGTTGTTGTTGATGTTTAAATATTATTTAAGTGTAAAATATCATACATTTTTAGGATAAACAGTAACTAACTGACTTTTATTTTAGAGAAATGTCCCATAAAACAGTTAATTTTACGGTTCTCGCTTTACCAAAAATATGCCACCATTTTTATATTTCCCGATTTACTTAAATAATTTCAATTATCACTAGACTTGGGTTTCTGGTTAATTAAATTGCCATAACTAAAATAAAGAAATCCAAAATGTCATATCTTTGCCTTCAACTTGCGTAACTCACACTTGTAGCTGAGAGACAATAAATAGTGAAAGGCATGATTACTACGACTTACTTAAGTAGTTTCACTAAGATGAGGAAAACAATTTAAAATTTATGATAAATCTTTATTTACTGACGCAATTATAAATATTGTAGATTTGGAAATTTTCAATAATTTGATAATCACCACTTAGACTTAACAACATAAGTTTTTAATCCTTCATTTACATGGTCATTTAAAAATGTTAATTACAACATTACCTACTTTTGCATTGATTTAAATATATCATTTTAGATTCAGAATATAAGCCTGTTGATAGGATTATAAGAAAAAGGCAAATGTACTTAGAATAATTCTTTATAATAGTGTATTATGAATATAATTTAAAATCACATTACTAATATCCCGCTAATTCTGAAGCCGATGGGTAGTGGGAGCGAACCATGCCACATCTGTCGCGATCGATGTTTAAGGTCTTTCTCTTCGATGCAATGTCCTTTTCTAAAACAATCCTTTTTTCCAAAAGATCCTTTCGTACTCTCTCTGCATTCCTCAACTGACCGAGTAGCGAAGTAACAGTTTCATGGATCTTCTTTACTTCTTCAATCAAACCTAAATGTGGTTGATCTCTTACACTCTCTCCGTGTGGTCTCCAATTATTTCTATTATCAAGTCTTGTTTGAGCTAGCTTCATTGCAGCATCCATTTTTCTAATTGAATCTTGTAAATTTGCTATCAATAATTCCATATCAGCAATTCTTTGCAATGTATTTCTTAAAGTTTCCTCTAATTTCGTGCAAAGTTCCTGAGTAATCGCAACAGTTTCCGCCAATGCCATATCGGTTCTATCAGCTTGATTCCGTAGTTTCCTGCCACCGTTAACTAAAATAGCATTGAGGCTTCCACGTAAGTCAGCAGATTTCTGTCGTGCGGCTTCACAGTTTTGTACGTTTTCCCTACAAAAGAATTCCCAATATTCTAAAGGTGCAGTATATTCACCAAAACGAGTAGAACCAGGACGAAACATTATTGTTTTAGATTTCGTGTTAAGGCCTAAATTAATACTTTCAGTATTGTAAGCCATAGTCTTATCGCACCAGTCATATTCTATCCTGTGTTTTGCTGCCTTATTGATAGCCATTTGTTCTTCAATTTCGTTAAGGGTATTTTTTAATGTTGCCCGAACTTCACTAACTAAATTCATTTCTTTGATCAGTTCTTGCTCAGCCAAGTCGGCTACCAAGTCCGGTTGATACCTGTTGGATCGAAGGTCCAAACATTCTTTTGATATAGATTCTGGAAGCATTAAAACTCTAGAAGCACCTTTTAAGCGTTGCCTCTCTATTTCGAGAAGTTCGACTTCTTCAGTGATAGCTTTACACGCCCTTTCAACTTCAACTTTCCATCTAAATATATCTTTTGCTTTTTGCCTTAATCTTTTAAAATTCTCACATTGCTGTTTGTCAATGTTGCCAAACGCTTGCATCATCGATGTTTTGGCGTTATATTCCACGATATTTGATTCAGTGATGATTTCTGGATTCAGTACATTTTGGTTATGATGTCTCCATTCGCTTAAAGAGTAACGACTTATGCTGTATTTATTGACACTAGGTCTAGTACCAGTCATGGCACCTAGAGGAGTCCAGTCAACCTTACCATCAGGACCCGGTTTCAAATTTGGAAGATATTCTTCACCTGTTGGAGCAGATCGACTTTCAATTATGTCTTCACTTGGTTGGTTGGTTGGTTCTTGTATCGGTTGCTCGGACATTTTTGCTTCTTCTGTCGCCTTTATATCCTCTTTAGCTTGTTCTGGGGTCTTTGTAGCCTTTTTGAAAGCACCAATATCTGTGCACACTTTGAATGATTTCATCTTTAGATTGATATTTTTTTACAAAAATATTATATTAAAAATTAAATATACCACAAAAAATAATTCACAATGACAATGTAAATATTTGACAATATATGCGAAAGCGAAAGCAGGATTATTACGGCCAGTATTCCCATTTTTTTTATAGCCGACTAAACACTTTTTAAAAAGATTCCTAGTCAGCGTATCTTAGTATATATAGTTTTATCGCGTATTTGTAGTGCGTATCATAAAACCCTTTTCCTTATTAGCGAGTTGGATTTACCTTCTTTTGTGAAATAACGAATCGATTCCCCACAGGAGACTGGACAGTTGTGTACATATATGTTGTTTTCCATTCAGGCAAATAATTATTTCTCTAAGCTTTTAGAAGAGTTGTTATGGACATTAACACACATCACCATCTAGTATTCCATGGTAAGCTACGTGGCTTGTGTTATGGATACCAGACAGTTGATACACTACACATATATAACTTTTTAAATACATACATATATAAATATAAACACCCAAGACTGGAGTCCAAACATTTGTGCTCATCACACAAATGAATGCCCCCAGCGGGACTTGAACCCGCGACCGCTGGTGCAGCAAGTAGGGTAACTACAAACTGAGCCAAACGTGTCGTCTAACAGCGCAACAATTACTCAGGGCATCGCGTAAGGCGTGTCACTACACACTAGTAACTAACTAACTAAAATAATTAGCACTAAAAAAGCCCTAATAAATACTGACTACATAAATACTGAAACAGCATATTTAACAGGTTCTTACACGCGTCACACTCATTAATATTCTCTTTTCCGTTTAAAGTGAAAACCTGCAATTGAAATATCCGCCACTTATCCAGTTACTGTGTACGCTATACTTCTCTATAGTTTATCTGTTCACCAGACTACTTTCTATATGATTTGAGAGCGTTCAAACTAGTTTTCTATTATATTTTCTATAAATAATTATAACGATATGAATTCAAATATATTTAATTATCACTTTGTACGATTGGGAAGACTGTTTCTTTATTTTTTTTTAAATGCAGCAAATACTTGACACGCTACATAGGTCTTTACAGTAAAAAAACATCTACGACCATGAGAAACTCTCGAACTTTTACCAGGCAAGTTCTTTACTTGTCGTTAATATTAAGATGTTGTATTTTGAGGCCTTTTTGTTTTAACTTGAACTGAGTAACCAGGATAGGTTGGCTTCCTGTAATTATGCAAATGGCATGCGTAAATTCATTTCCCGATGTTAACAAAGGGTATGTTGGCTTGTACATAATGATCAACATAAGGATTTTCAACCTGTGCGGGAATCTAATAGGTTAAATAATCAATATATAATATACTAGCATTGCCCGCGGCTCCACCCGCGTTTAGATGACCAAAAACCAAATTCTTAGGCTTTACATAAGTATTAGTATACTCTTACATTGCAGTCTCAGTTATTTTTTCTCAGAAATGAGACATTTTCCCGCGGTAAAAAGTATCCTATATGTTGACCCGGTTAACAAGCTATCACCATACCAAATTTCATTAAAATCCTTCCAGTGGTTTTCCGTGCTGCGGTAACAGACAGACAGACAAAAATTCAAAAAACTATAGATTCGGCCTCTGTATCGATAATAATGTATATTTCAATAGGATGCTTGTTAGCTTGACTGCATTTTCATATGTGTATAGTATATGTATTTATTCCTTTTTAACATCCCATCGCTGGTCAAGTGCGGGTTGACGGACTTCACATGTCTTTCGAATACTTGCTAGGTTCTTTCAAATATGCAGGTTTTCTCACGGAGTTTTCCTTAACCGTAAGACAAGTGATAATCATGGAAATAATATCAGAGGTGCGACACTCGGGATTTGAACCCGCTTTACTCAGTTTCCCAAACGAGTGCGTTACCACTGGGCTACCACTGCCATTTTCATATATGTTGTTCATTCGAAATTAACATAACTAAATTCACAGTACTCACATTATACATTATATATGTATATGAAACTAAAAAATAATTTTCTTATTTATTTAAGTTTTGAAATTTTGCCTTTGCTTCTTTTAAATTAATGCTTCGTAACTTTTCTTTTATTTATTCGTCTTACTTGGTATATCGAAGGCGTTTCTAATAAATACATGGATGGAAATCATATCGTAAGCCGATATTTTATAACTATATCCAATAACCACAAGGTCGCTTGTATCTTGTAATGTATATGATTAATAATTCTAATTAAATATTAAAAACCATAGATATGGGCGTAGTTATGCAAAATAGATCCAACCACAAAAACTTACTTTTGAGATTATGTTGATGTGTATATTATACTTAGCAATTTACACTCGTACGTATGATATTTAATGAATACTAGCGGCTCACCCTCGCTTCGCTCGGGTTCGTCGCTAGGTACGTTTTAAATAGATATAAAAAGAAAAAATCTTTCTTTCTCACATTTTAATTATATGTTTTAATACTTACCTATTCCGGACTAAGAGAAATCCAAAAATTAAAATATCATAAAAATTGGAACGCGGTCGAACGGGATAAAAAGTATCCTATGTCCTTCTCCTGGCTCTAAACTACCTCCCTGCCAATTTTCAGCTAAATCGGTTCAGCCGTTCTTGAGTTATAAGCGAAGTAACTAACACGACTTTCTTTTATATATATAGATTAATTACATCTATTTAAGTATATGAAAACTTTCATAGAAAGTGGTATGAAAGATTAACACTGCTTACTCTTTTAAATATTGTAGGTTTGATTCCTGAAAAGGCAATGTTTGTCTACTTATACATATAATAAAATTGTAACTAAGTCGAATCTGTACATTAAATATTTTATGGAAAATCTAATTGAAATAGACATAATTATCGATACAGAGTCTGAATCTATAGTTTTAGAACTTTTGTCTGTCTGTCTGTCTGTTACCGCATCACGAGAAAACCGCTGGACAGATTTTGATGAAATTTGGTATGATGATAGCCGGTTATCCGGGTCAACATATAGGATACTTTTAACACTTACAATTGAAAATAACTTATTTCTGAGAAAAAATACAAAAACTGCAATGTAAGAGTATACAAAATGTAAAACCTAAGAATTTGGTTTTTGGTCATCTGAACGCGGGCGGAGCCGCGGGCAATGCTAGTATTAAATATTAATCGTATATTTATTAATCTTAATATCTGGTGAAATTGAAAGTTTCAAAGTACTGAGAAGTACAAACACAGAGATGGTAAGGCGTAACAAATGATATCATTTGAAATCACTGTACAAATTACTTTACAAATATAGAAAGCTCAAAAAAAACCAACCGCAGTAATAACAACCAGCACTCGCCATGAAGCATATTATACGCAAGTTGGACTTTTACTTTTTACGCTATAGAAAGAAACACCATGATGAGCGGCTAATGGCAAATAGATGGTGATACTTTACTAGATTACGCAAGTTGTTTCAATTATTTATTTTTTTCTTTGCTAAAAAATAACTTCGTCAATGCAATGCAATGGTAGTGTGTTACGGTAGCACCTACAATAACGGAACCTGGAATCTATACTCTATATAGTCTATACTAATATTATAAAGGGGAAGAATTGGTATAGATATTTGTTTGAACGCGCTAATGTCAAGAACTGCTAATCCAATTTGAAAAATTCTTGTTGCATTAGATAGCCCGTTTTTGAGGAAGGATCATTATACTACCCAAAGGAGCAGAGCAATAATCATAAATGACAACAAATAGGGCAGACTTTCCATACATTATTACTATTAGCATAAAGCCAGAGTTTTTTTATAGTTTTAACGCGAGCGAAGCCGCGGGTTCTGCAAGTTATTTATATTTATTAATAAACGCTAGACTCATCTTCGCTTCGCTCGGGCTATTCCCTGGTTGATTCTTTAAATTGACATACGACACGTTTGGCTCAGTTTGTAGTAACCCTACTTGCTGTGCCAGCGGTCGCGGGTTCAAGTCCCGCTGGGGGCATTCATTTGTGTGATGAGCACGAATGTTTGTACTCTAGTCATGGCTGTTTATATTATAATATGTATGTATAACTGCCTCGGTGGTGTAGTGTCTAGCATGTACGGCTGCACACCCGGAGGTCCTGGGTTCGAGTCCCGGGTCGGGCCAAGTTTAGTTATTGAGTCTTTCTGTATAGTAAGTCTCAGTAACAACCCGGAGTTGGGAAGTTGGCGGTGTTTCACCCCCGTGCTTCGGAGAGCACGTAAAGCCGTCGGTCCTGCACCTTAACCCTCACGGGTCGTGTCGAGTGGTCGTCCCACCGGAGTATGAGAGTGATAGGAATAGAGAGTGCACTTGTGTCTGCGCGTACACTTGAGTACTATAATATCTCCTGCGCAGTTGGCTAATCTCAACGAGATTGGCCGCCGTAGCCGGAATCGGCTAGGAGAACATCATCATCATCATCATTATCATCATGTATGTATTTAAAGTTATATATGTGTAGTGTATCAACTATCTGGTATCCATAACACAAGTCTTGTAGCTTACTATGGAACTAGATGGCGCTGTGTGTTAATATCGCAACATATACATATATATACATAACTTTTTATTTATGAACCGATTGAAATAAAACAAACACTAAATGTTAAGTAAAGCTTACCACAATACATTAATAAAAACCGTACCCAATCGGTTAAGCGGTTTCTGAAACGCACAGACAAACAAACAAACCAACAAACAGACAAATAGACAAAAAAATTAAAATCATTATTGTGGGTTCTATTGCGTTAATAAAAACCGCCAATAATAGTTTTTCTCAAATATCTTCCATATACAGACAGCGATCAGTTATACTTTTATTATATGTATAGACTTGTTTCCCTCTAACGTTTGATTACAGCAGCTATTACTACTACACTGAAACTTCTGTGCAAGAAATATTATAGATACAAGTGATCAATTAATAAAGCTGCTACGCTCTATAATCTGGTAAATGCACCTATCCAGTGCCCATAGTCCGAAAAGAGATCTGGT